AAAAACAGTAATCAAACAATCTGTGCGTGAAGCTCAATTGCTGTTATTCCCTGATCCTTGATTGCAAATGACAAAGTTGAGAGTCAGTCAGACACAACAGAGACCACACTCTGCGTCAGCTACAATTAAAAACACACTTCAAATGATAAAAACGAACTGGTGAAAACAGAAACAGTGAAGCACTGTTTCATTTGAAGATGAACAGGTTTGTATTTGAGCACATTTCGAGCACTTGAAGCGTTTCAGAAAGTGACGTGGCACTCCTGCTGTTGTTCTGTCGTGTGTGCTGGAAGGACTCCTCGCTGCTCGTGGCTTCCTAATGATACCGTCTCGCTCAGATGACTGTATTTGAGCATGAATCACCTCACGTCAGCTTAAAGCGCAGCTGTGTAATGATGTGGAGTCTGCACCCAAACACTGCAGGCTTCACACTGATCAGCAACTTAGCAGAAGATATTCTGTTTAAAGTCAAACCTTTAAAAATGACTCTTCGTCCCACATCACAGCATGTTCTCCAACCAGAGGAAGAAATGCACAGCTTTACAGAAAATAGATGCTAACAAAGTGAAAGTTGCTGTTCAATAAATTTTTGGTTAAACTTCAATAATAATGTTACACTCAGCTTCAAACAATGTCACAAGCTCTCATGCTAATGTTGTGAATGACTCTCAGCTGCTTTTAGCTGTGTTGTCATCATGAACTGAACTGACCAGATGTTCATCAGTTCTACATGTAGCTCCAGGTATCACCTTCTGAGTTTCATTTGAATCCATTAAGTGGTTCATGGGATATTTTGCTAACAGACATACACAAACATGCTCCCACACCTTTACTGCCTGCATTTTGCCTTTCTGCGCAGGCAACAAATAACTGCATGAAAATATTAAGGTTGCTGGGAAGCAATATTGTGCTTGAAGAAGATTTAGTGTTCAAACATCTGGAGCTGCATCTGAAAAGGTCTTGAAACCCCTGGAGTGTGAGCCCCCCACATAAGAGACAGCTGCCAAAACAACAACATGTGGAGCCAGCGGTGGTCTCAGCTCAAAGCAAGGATTCCTGAGGAAACATTCATGGCTGAAGGGTTGAAAATCAGAAAAGGCAAATCGTGAAATATCAACGATTTTTAAAGAATCAGATTGTTTTTATATTTTTTTGTAAACTGCACAGCAGATTACTGACTACAAGTGATGATGATGATGATACAATGATAGTAAAAACAGCTAGAAGTAGCTGCACCTGTCCAGGTGAAACGCTGCAATCTCTGCATTGTGTCTCTGGAAGTCCACAAAGTAGAAGACGTCCTCTGGAGTCTCTTCTTCTCTCTGCTGCCTGACACACACACACGCATGCGCACACACACACACACACACGCCAACAATAATGTGAGTAATAGTCAGTGCAGTGTGTAATCAGTGAGACAAATACTATCATTTCTACAGCGGACTGGGTAATTTATCCAGACACAACTTAAGGTGGGACATGACAATAATAACACAGCACACAGATTATTACGCTAAAGTGACGTCAGGCAGCTTAATAAGATGTTTGTTTGAATTTCATGAACTAAAATTTAACACTTCACATTAAATTTACCATTCCCCCTTCTGTCCTCTGACTTTTAAAAAAATCTTGAAGGCATGTATATCACTCACTTTTCCTGCCATACTTTTAGACTAGGAGCAAGATGTGCAGCCAAACTGCTGGCATAGCCCTACAGAACCTCACAGTGAACAAGGCCAGGCTGATTCTGGCAGATCCTGATCATCCATTCCTGGTTGCTTCCATCTGAACGCAAGAATCTTCTGCCCAGATGTTGGACAAACGGACTGAAAAACTCATTCATCCCTGTAGTGATCAAGGCTTTTCAACGAACTGTGATGATTTATATTGTTATTTTAATGTCACTGTCTTGTCTAGTATGGATGTTTTGTGTGGAACAAATTGCCCCCTGGGGATAATAAAGAAGCTTGAACTTGAAGAATGACAGAAGTGTTTGGTCAAATCTAGAAACTAACGCAACACGAGAGCTCTTGTTATTTGTTAGTGCTTAAAGTAGGTATTAAGGATGATTCTCAGCTACTACCATCCAAATCTAGGTCAAGACATGTAACATGAACCGAGTTATTTTTATTTTTTTAGCTATTTTTGTGTGGCTTGAGGTCAATTAGCTGTGGCTAATGCAGCCATTTTTGTTCTTTTTGCCAAAAGATGTAACTGATACTTCAGAATTTCACTAAAATGTGTCCAATTCATGAGATGATTTCTTCTGAACCTGGGAGTTGGCGTGTTTGCAGAAGATGAGACGACCTCACCTCATTGGTTTGAACATGGCTTTGCCAAAGTTGCGCAGCTTCAAAGCCAGCTTCAGGTGATGCCCGCTGGGTTTCACCACTGCAGGAAAACAAAAACAGAAAGTCATGCGGTACCAAGATCAAGTTTACAGAGTCAGTTCAGCTTTAGTCAAGCGAGGCCAACTGAAAGTGATGATTATATCCTCGGCCTGTTGTGTGCGATAAAGTAAGTGAGGGTTTGGTCACACAGCTTGCGCTCTCCCAGCAGCTCTGTCTGGAGGTATATTCCAGCCAAACCACACGTTTGCCTCCCCCCGCTGCGCTCCCTGAACCTCCAGGGTATTATTAGGTAACAGTCGTGTGCACTTTACTTTCAAAGCACTTCTGGAAAGGAATCAAAACTGACCCGGCCGCTTTGAGCAGCTGTTTGAAACTGAAATGAGAAGAATGTTGTGTGTTTAAATTTAGACAGAGCCGAGGATTGTTTTGGTGGTAATTATTATTTTCTGGCAGTGAGTGATGGGTGTGGGGTCACCACGGTGTGCATGGTTGCAAATACTGCACTAACAGGACAAAAACAGAAAATCTATACAGAAAAAAATGCTTGTTTAGTCAATAACGTTCAAAATCAATGCTGAAAAGCACACAACAACGTTCACAGATAATATGACAACTGGGAAACATTTTTAATGCTTTTTACACCCCATCTACAGCGGCAGCTCTGACTTATGTGCTGTTGGCGGTACAGAAGTATTCACATCCCGTTAGTATTGTTTGTTTTGCACCTGGAACTAGACTGACTCACTGAGAAACAGCTGGAATTAACTTAAAACATGCTGAAATGAGGCTGAAATGGATGAACAAGCCTATAGCAGAAGAAAGCAGAAAGAACACACATTTGTTGAATTAAGTTTAAATAAGCAAAAAAGAGCACAGAACATAGGAAATTAGCTATAAAAAAGATTAAATGATCAAAAAATAGCTTAAAACTATAGTTGAAAGGGGCAAAATAAGCTTAAACTGTCAGAAGGAAGCGGAAAGAAGAGAAATGAGCTATAAAAAAAAATGACGAATTAGCTGAACAAGCTAAAATAAGCATCAAAAGAGCTAAATAGTAGCTGAAAAAGTATAACAAGCTGAAATTAGCATAAATAAGTTAATTAGACTGAAAGTAGCAGAGATTAACACAAAAACTTGAGTTACACACACACAAAACAGCTGAAAAGTAGCTAAAAATAAGCAGAAACCATAAGAAAGTGGACAGAGCACATTTTTGCCTAATGTGGCTAAAAAAAGTTGAAATGAGTGCAAAAAAAAAATGTGAAATTAGCTGAAAAGCTAAAATTAGCATATATAGCTAAATAGTAGCTGAAATAGAATAAAAAGCTGAAACTTGCATAAATAAGCAGAATTCAATTCAATTCAATTCAAAAATACTTTATTAATCCCAGAGGGAAATTAAATGTTGTAGCTCATTTTCCTTGTTTCATAAAAGAGTTGTTCTAGATGTTGATGGTTGTGGGCGGGAAGGATTTCTTGTGATGGTCCGTCTTATAGCAGATCTGAAAAAACTGGCCACAGATGTTGATCCGTTTACTTGCACTTGGTTGGCCTTCTGGGCTTCAGGATCACCTGAATGTTGGGCAGAAATCCTCCCAGGGCAATGGCCACTCTTCCCAGCAGCTTGTTGAGCTCCTCATCGCTGCGGACAGCCAACTAGGTGCTGATGGACGATCCTGTCCTTCTGCTGTCATGAGTCGTGTTTCCTGCTAGTTCCAGGATCTCAGTGGTCAGGCACTCGAGCACAGCTGGCAGGTAGAAGAGAATGCGTCCACAGAACATCCTTTTCAACTCATTTGAGATTTGGGGCTGTAGTTGAGATATTATTTGAGCTTTTGAGATGTTAATCAGCTGCTGTTGGTCGTAGAAACTGCCTTGTTGCCATGGTTACGCATCATAACAAATGTCCAAAACTAAAAAAGTTTCAGTAAAAATCCTTCCAGCTGCACAGCATCTGATACCAGAGGAAACAATCATCCAAAAAATGTGATTTAAATCCAGAAAAAGAGGAATTAAAGTTTCCAAAAGCAAAATCTCAGAATGAAAGTAACAGAGCTGCTCCAACATGCAGCCACATTGAGCGGCGCAATTCTAGAACCAGTTTTGCATAAAAGGAGAATGCAAAAAAAAAAAAAAAAAAAATGCATGAAAGGAGCATAACAAGCTAAAATTAGCTGAAAGAAGTTAGAAGATACACAAAAATGTTCTAGTTAGCAGAAAGAATCTGAAAGAAGCACAAAACAGCTGAAGAAACAGCTGAAATTAGCTGGAAGTAGCCGAAAATAAGTTTAAATTTGCACCTGGAAGCTGAAAGAAGCTGAACCAGAACAAAACGTGAAAGGAGCAGTAAAAGGTTGTAAACACATCTAAAGAGTTGAAGGATGTAAAATGAGCTCAATTCATTTTCTATGAGGAAAAAAAAAAGTGGCCGAAAAGGCTAAATATTTCAAATAGCTAAAGTCGCACGAATACCAAACGTCACATCACCCTTCTGAACGAGCTGAATGTTTTGATATATGATTTGATGAAATAGCACAAAAATTGTGGAACGAGAAAGATGCTGAAAAACGTACAGAAGAAAAATGGATCACAACAGCTGCTTCACAAACATTCATACTAAAAACAAACAAACAAAAACAACTATCACTATGTGAAATTTGATTGGGAAACAAACAAACAAACAACAAAGAAGTTAAATCCCCTCCCCTCAGGGCATTTGCTGTATCTGTTTGATATTAAACCAGTGGTGAGTAGATGTGGATGTTTGAGGTCGTCGTCCTGCTGAGAGCTGAACCTCCATCCAAGTCTTAAATCTCTTGAAGTTGCAGACACGTCTTGTCCTAGACGGTGTAAAGGTTTGGGTTTGGTCTCATCTGACCACAGCACCTTCTTCTACATGTTTCTGCAGTGCCCAGCTCTGTTCGGCTGCTCTTAAAGAGCAGGGCTATCTTTGGCCTCCTGGATGTTTTCTTTTTTCTGCTAATCCCCGCCTTACTCAGTTCATGCGGATTGGACAGGGACTCACGTTTAATTCATCCCTCTTCTCACAATCTATTTATTTGTGCTCCAATTAATATATAACCAGATTTTATTTGTAAATCCTGTTTAGCATCACTAACCTGGAGTATTTTGTGTAGGCCCATCCATTATAATGAACCTAATAATCTGTTCAAATTCCAGGTTGTGAAGCAACAAAATAGAAAGAATCCCAAGGGGTGAATATTTCTGCAAATTATCAGGTGTCTGGTGAGTGAAAGCTTCATTAGAGCATGTCCATGTTCAAAATTTAATCAAGAACTCTGCCTTTAAACACACTAGTGCCTGATTATTTCACCCTGGGGCAAAGAGCTTCAATTTAAAAGTATTAATCTCAGTTCTTGTTCTAAATGAAAAACAAAAGTCTGCTTCTTTACAGAGGAGGTAATGTGTGTGTGTGTTTGTGTGTGTGTGTGTGTGTGGTGGGTTGTCTGGTGGTACAGTACTGCCAAGCAGCAAAGAAGAAGAGGAGGGGAGACAAAGGATCTCACTATTACGATGTGCATAAAATACAGAGCTGCTCGACAAAAACAAAGAAAACTGTTGATGTGTTTTCTGTGAAAGCTGGATGTTGAAGGACTTTACTGAAACAAGCAGAATCAAGCTGAACAGAAATCAGATCAATGCCAAAGTGATCAAAACAGTCACTAAAAGCTACGATGTGCAAGATGGTAGCTATAATCTCGCAGGTATCCCACCTCTTCTGGGATGAAGGAGAGATTGCAATGAAGTGGAGATTAAACACAACCGGCTGCCTTCCCAAGATTGATCAATTTCACGAATCAGCGTTTAATAATGCTTGTGACTGTTTTTTGTACAGTGCCCTGAGATGACATTTGTTGTGACTTGGCACTCCTGAATTAATCCAATTATAAGCAAAAATGAGCAAAACAATGGCTGTTATAATAATAACAATATGAATTTTAATATTTTTTAGATAAAGAACTTTACTAACTGGCTTTTCTATGTAGGTGAATGTTCCTGTAAAGTGTCCTGAGACAACTTTGTTGTGATTTGGCGCTATATAAATAAACTGAATTTATATTTACCGGTATAACAATAGCATGAGAAGGTGCTAATTATAAGACTGAGTTTGTTGCAGCTCCTCAGACTGAAGAAGTCTTTTGGATGAAAGACGCAACGTTTCAACAAAGAAGAACCCGTCCAGAGGACCTGACTTAACTTTGTTAGAATAGCTAAAAGATAAATGCAAAAAAGTAAAAAAAAAACTAAACTGTAGCTTTAAGCTCACATTCGAATAGATAAAAGTTAAATGTGGCAAAATTGTAGCTAAAAATATAGTAAATATGTGATAAACTGTTGCCAAAAGTCAAATGTTGCATCACTGTACTGTATTTTTCAGACTATAAGGTGCAATATCAATGAGCAGATCTGTTTTCATACATGAGGTGCACCAGATTATAAGACACACTAAGTAAAACAAAACAGTCAGATAAGTCAAACTTTGTTCAACTCATTCACAATAACTACATAAAATCAGTTCGAGGTCAGTAAGCACAACCAGAATTAATACATAAAGTGCACCAGATTATAAGTTTCACTGTCGATTTTTGAGAAAATTAAAAGATTTTTAGTGCGCCTTATAGTCAGAAAAATGTGGTAATTAAAAGTATCGTTGAGCATAAAAAAACAAACAAAAAAAAGCAACAGTTTTTGGAAAAAGTAGAAACAAATCAATGTAATGCTATGGGAAAAAATGTAAATAAAGTTAAATGATTAAAAACGTATCAAAGTTACAAATGCTAAAAGCCATATTCCACTATTTTACATCTATTTGGATGTTTTGTTATATGAATGGTCAAAAACCACACTACGTAGGCAGACTGCGAAAACATTTAAACTATAAGCAGGAAAATCTAATTGTAGCAAAACTGCTGAATCGACACTCACACAATAAAACACTTAAAACTTCCTGATATTTCTTACGTGATGGAAATATAAAAAGCACAAATGGTCTTTACCTTGAGCGCAGTCACACGCTCCTTTCAGGGCTTTCTCATCCTGAGTGTAATCTGTAACAAAACAAGGGTTCAAATTATATTAATCCGTATTTATTTAAATTCTCATGTTGCATTTCCATCATGCAGGTGCTTGAACTCCAACCTGCGTCCACAATGGGCATGTCCTGCATGTCCTGGAGAAGCTGGCGGAGGGCCGGCTCGTCCCGGGGGTACAGGGCGTAGCGGTTTATTCCAGAGTGGAACTTGAGCCAGCTGGCATCAGGGTCAAACTTCATGTCTTGCACCGTCAGAGAGATGTTAGCCAACGCTGCTGCCTCGTTGTAAAGGTTCTTATGTCTGAGGACGCAAGGGTTTGTTTAAATTGTTGAAATGTCAGAACTTGAAGGAAATCGTCGACACGTGATTAAACTGCTGGGCTTTCTCTGTAAATGAACCTTGCAGCTTGAGCCACGAGGAAGTGGATTTAAGGAGGCCTAAATCTGCTCAGATCAGCTCCCTGATGGGCGTTCTGATTAATTTCCACTTTGACTGTGTTAAGAAAAAAACATGTTTAAATAGTGGCTTAAAGATTACAGCCAAGATGGAGCTTCTCAGATAAAGATGTGAGAAACTTCCTGAACAACCCAAAATATTCACTGTCAGTTTGACGTCTGCAACACACTCTTGACTGATGGCTTCATCGTCAGACTGCTTTTTTTTTTTTTGGGGGGGGGGGGGGGTTGGAAGTTTTGATCAAAGTAAAAGAAAATTGTTAATTTCTTACAATTTTTCTTGTTCCATGACTTTCCTTAGCAAACCCTCATTTTATAAATGAAGAAAAGCAACATAAAGGTCATCAGCTATCATCCAGAACTCGCGTGTGGGCACATAATGATTATTTCCTCTGGTATCGAATGCTGTGCAGCTGGAAGGATTTGAACTGAAACCTTTTTACTTTTGGGCATATGTTATGATGCGTAACCATGGCAACAAGGTGTTTTTTTAACAACCAGGAGCAGCTGATTAACATCTCAAAAGCTGAAATACCTCAACTACAGCATCAAATCCCAAATTAGTTGAAAAGGAGGCTCCGTGGACAAATTCCTGTCAACCTGGTGGCGGTGCTCGAGTGTCTGACCGCAAAGATTCTGGAGCTGGTGGGAAACTCGGCTCGTGACAACAGGAGGACTGGGATCATCCCCCGGCACCTGCAGCTGTCTGTCCGTGGTGATGAGGAGCTCGGCAGAATGCTGGGAGGAGTGGCCATCGCTCAGGGAGGAGTTCTGCCCAGTATTCGGGCACTCCTGCTGCTCAGGAGGACCGAGAGGCCCGCCGGATCTGACAGCAAGATGGATCTGGGTGGACGAATCGGTATTTGTGGCCAGATTCTTCAGATACGCTGCAGGAGATCCTTCCTGCCCACAGCTATCAGCATCTAACAACTCTTGAATGAAACCAGGATGATGAGCTAAAACAACGCGTAATTTCCCTCTGGGATTAATAAAGTATTTTTGAATTGAATTGAATTGAATAATAAATGTTTTATTTCTGCTCTGCATCTTGAATCAAATCAAATATCTGGGAAAAATCACAATATGAATATTTAGGCCGGCGATAATGTTTTGTCTGTTAGCAAAACATCTCATCACATCATTAAGCTTTCCTGAAAATAATCATTAGATTTACAACGGATTAACTTTAGCTCCATGCAAGATGGCTGCCAAAGCAGGTCTCCCTTACCCAACGCAAACACGGTCAGTTTCGCAAATATTGAGCTATAATTTGGTGTGGTAGTAGCTGAGAGTCATCTGCAACACACACTCTGAGGACTAGTGTTGTCAAAATGATATGTTATTAATGTTTGACCCAGGCAGTTATGACGCAGTGATTTCTCAAAATTAAGATGGTCATAATTTAAAATCTGGTCTGAGCAATACGCATTGATTAAAATGACTGAATAAATAAAAGCAAACCTTAAAGCACATCAGCACACATTTTGTGTTTTACTGCTATTGTCAGAAACAGACGTTTGGTCCGCCTGCTGTCAGCTGTTCTGAGTTCAAGCAGGAAGCAGGAGTAACAGAATAGCAGTCTGTGGTCAGAGGGGCAGCCCAGGGTCAAAACTGACCGCACGGAGTGGGACAGGCAAACAAACTCCATCACCGGCTGCATAACAAACTGAAATAGTGGAGCAAAAAGGCAAAATCAGCCGAACAACTCCAGAGCAACTTACAGGGACTGATTGGACTTATCGGGACATTAGACACGTGCAGCCCACAAACCACAAACTGAGACAGATTTGGAGAGCATGTTGGGCAACTTGAGTAAACAGTGGGTTTCAGTTGCAACATGAGTTGCAACATTCAGCCTGAGCAGAACTGAGCTGTCATGTTTCAGGGCATTAAATAAAGGCAGACAGACGGATCGTGTTTCTTCTTGTTTTTAACCACAAACGACACAAATTTGCATTTCTGAGGGAACGTGTCAGGCTAGACTGATGGCAAACAAGAAACTGCAGCTTTCAAAGATTCAAATCAGCTTTCGTTGACCACAAGATGTCAGGATGACATGAATGAAAGGGTTTTCTGCCCCAGAACACGCTGACATTAACCTTTTAGGACACACACACACTCATCGCCACATCCCGATGACTCTCTGCAGATATAAAGAAAGTGCTCATGAGTCTGGATGCACATCATCAGGGTTCGACCAGCGGGAGCGGACCCTGCCCTCACCAAGCTGCAGCACGTGCTCCCAGAGTCACAGCTTTCATAATAAAGTTAAATAATTCTGATATGTCAACCTGCAGCCAACTGTGGAGGAAACGCACAACGATTCATCAAATTAGAGTTTGAAGAAATCATTTAAAATTAATGGCTTTCCTAGAGGGAACACATCTCCTTTTCTTTATGGGTCAAATCGCAAGATCGTACATGATTTCTTAGTACCTAAAACATGTTTTAAGGATGACTCTCAGATACTACCACCAAAAATGTACTCAGTTCAAGTAAACCGGACAGAGTTTTAAGCATTTTTGTGTTTTAGGAAGATGAGTAGCTGTGGTGGCCATTTTAAATCTGAATGACTCTGAAACTGCATCAGTTTTAGAAGCATACTCAATAAATATTTCCTCAAAGTTTCATTAAAATCGATCCCATGGTTCATGAAATATTTTGCTAACACATAGATAGAGATGGCACTTAAACTTAATAATAAGTTTAAAGCAATATCAATAAATTAGTTAGTACTCAAAGTGTTGTATGAGAGTGACCCTCGGCTTCTAACACAGGATTTTAGCTTAATGTCTGT